TTATTATTATTATTATTATTATTATTATTAACATAATTATATTATTATTAATATTATTATTATTATTATTATTATTATTATTATTGTTATTATTATAGTTATTGCTTTTATTATTATTATTATTATTATTATTATTATTATTTTGTTTATGTTTATAATTGTAATTTTTATTGTTATCATTATCATTATGATTATCATTATAATTATCATTATTGTTATTGTCTTTATCATCATCATTATTGTTATCGTAATTAATATTATTATTCTTATTGTTATTATTATGATAAATCCACAAGAACTAGTGGTAGAAGTATCACAAAAGTCACATTTGTGAAATATAGCTAGATCCTCGGTATGGTAGCTTGATTCCATTATGCCCTTTAATTTGTCAGTTTTTATATTCTGGAAGTTTGAGGGCAGGTTGCATTATATTATGTCCAAGGCTCAGGTGGGTGGAACTTTGCTTGCCCGAGAGTGTCTCCTTGATACTCTATTCTTGCCATTCGGGCGTTTATGTAATTGTCGTAACAGTAAAGTATAAGGAAGTTTGTTGCACACTCTGGAAATTCCATTTTACATAACCTCCTGTCTTGCCTGTTGAACAAATACCAAAAAGGAGTATAGTATCTTGAGCTCTTTTTTATAACAAAGGATTATAGTTTGAGTAGTTATGTGGACTCATGCAAGTTTTAGCCTTAGTTTGGAATCTTTCTTTCTCTGACCCCATTGTTGAATAGAAAGACCAAGGGAATCCAGTTCCTGACCCCCCCCCCCCCACCCACCTACCCCACCCACACATACGTATTCACATTCTCATTCACATTTGCTCTTGTACTCGCACATTTTTAAAAATTATTATTGTAATTATTAGTAATGTTTCCTTCTTGCCATTTTTTTCAGATGCCATGAAGGGCGCTGCCATTGCTGGAGGAGCAATACTGGGCGTAGGGGCCCTGATTGGTCTAGGAATGGCCCTTGCCAAGAAATAAAAGGAAACAAAGCTGACCTTCCCTTGGGCTTAGTGTATTTTTTTCAGTTAGTTTCCCGTCTTGATCTCAAGAATGTATAATTAGATAAGAGCCAAAAGAAATTATAAAGAAAAAGAAAAATGGCAAGAGGAGTTATTCATTCATTCCTTCAATCCTAAGGGAGGTTTATTGCAAGGTTTTTCTTACCTGTCCTTGATCCTTATTACTAGCACTTCATTTCATGAATTTGCATATCTTCTTTTTTATATTCAAATCAGGAGTAATGAGCTGAGAAGAGTTAAAACTTGTGTTTGCATTTCTTTTACTCAGAGGTTTTTGTGATGCAGTTTTCAGAAAATTGTAAACTGTACAAGGACTACATGTTTATTTACAGCCTTAGAATGAGTCTTGTATATTTGTAGAGTTACATAATCCATCCCCAAAGGAAGATTGGCAATATTTATATTTGTGTAGCTTTATCATCTATTTGTAATCTTACAAATACTCCTCCTACATACATCCTGGAAGTATTCCATCGTGTACATAGTTGTCAGATTATTATTTTATCTGTCATTGTTTAGCTGTGTATGGTTTTGAATATATCATATCAGTCAATCTTGAGTAAATAAACATGCAAGCTGTGATTGTGTGATTACCTGTAGTACATTGTGACTGTGATTTTAAGTTGTATATAGGTTTCTTCTGGCATTACATGTATGATTTTTTTTAAAGGTTATTAACTTAACATGCATGTTTTCCTCTGTTTAATGTTCTTTTTTTCCAATTTCAAAATGTGGTGTGCGCGTTTAGACAAGATCCCATTACCATACTGAGTAGTCCGTCTTAGGTCCGTGTGTTTGGTGATCAGGGTATTTGATTCAAAGACTTAGTTTATGCTTGGTTTTGTAAATGTATAACAGTACCATTCAGATGTATTAACTATTCCCACGTCCACCCTGCACGAGCTGAGTCATTGAGTCAAAAATCTTTTTACAAAGAGGTATACATACTTGTATACAAAGCACATAATTGTTTGGACTGGTTTTATTAGCAAATGTGCAGAGTACCACTGTGCTGTATTAAGCTTCTTTTTTTTGTACTAAAGAAACTACATTGATGGCCTTATTGAAACTTCCAGAAATTCATTCAGGTTGCAGTTTCTCCACAGATACATGTTTTCTGTATTTAGATAGCTGTCACTTTTTAAGGTTGTAAGATACAAATATATATTATTCACAAGAATTTGATTTTGTCATTTATACCCATCCATGAAATATAACACACAAAGCTTTTTCTGACTGATACCATTCCCCCTGCTGAGGGGTGTGGTCATCCCTTTCTGGAAAGGGAAAGGGGATCGGAAGTACTGCAGCAATCACCGAGGCATTACACTGCTTAGTTTACCTGGCAAGGTTTTTGCTCACATCTGTCTGAGACCTATCAGACGCTATCAGAGGTCGGAGCAATCTGGATTCACTCCTGGTAAGTCCATGAGAGACTGTATCCCGGAACTTCGAGTCATTGTAGAGCGCCGACGTGAGTTTGGGCGTGGGCTGCTTGCAAGTGACATCGACCTCAAGAAGGCATTCGATACGGTGCATCACGAATCACTCTGGGAGATCCTGAGACTAAAAGGAATTCCAACAAGGATTATTAGATTAATAGCAAACCTGTATACTGATACTGAAAGTGCTGTAAAGTGTGGTGGGGGCCTGTCGAGTTTCTTCCCTGTTAATTCAGGAGTGAGCCAAGGCTGTGTTCTTGCACCAACACTTTTCAACACTTGCATGGACTGGACATGGGGTAGAACTGCTCTCCAAAATCAGTGTGAAGCAACATTGGGCACTATTAAGGTACCTGTGCAGAAGGACCAAACTATGTGTCTTCAAGACTCTGATACTACTGGTTTTACTATGCTACACCAAACCTGGGCGCTATATTTGCCTTGGCATCTTGTCTTAGATACCATTTGTAATAGGTCTTTGCGCCGGATCACGGTGTATAATTGGCGGGACTGTGTGTCCAGCCAACGTTATACTGTGAGACCTGGTACAAGAACTATTACTTGCACAATCTGCGAACGCCAACTCGTTTCCCACAGGATGATCCTTCCCACCAAGTTGTCTTTGTTCGAGACAGCCCTCGCTATGGGAGCCACCACAATTGGCACATGTGCATGACTGAGGAGAGCAATTTGAATGGTCATGACCAGGTTGGGCAAATAGGGGGCAGTATAATGGTCTCTAATTCAATTATATAGAAATCCACTATATTATCTGGAGGTCCAGAGGAAAACTCAGTATCTGTTAACACACTTTATTGTTAAGCAGACACGTAGTAACAGAGATATAGATTGGTAGTCGTGGACGTGGCAGATAGGGCGTCATCGGCCTCCCACGGGAGGCCAGAAGGGGAAGGTGTTGCTTAGAGGAGGCCTGGACTCGTTCTGCCTGTTCCTGGGGTCACTGGTCATTCCTCCCTTTGCCTGCCCAGGGCCTGGGAACACTGGTCACTTTTCCCTTTGCTCTGCCCAGGGGCGTAGCCCATCTGTATCTTGTTTTCTCTGGAGGTCAGGTCAGCGGCAGATGTTCCCGTTTGGTGAATCTCACAGGCAGTGGGCTGTGGAGTGATGGTGTTTGGCTGGGTGGCCAAAACTCCAACATTTCTGACATTAACAATGAAGGGTCGATATGGTCGGACAGGGCAGGACACTCCACCAGTATAAACTTCATGTGCAGCAATAGGTTTAGCAGTGAGCTTGGGATTCAAATGTATGAAGAGGCATGAAGAATCAGAACGACTGCGAAAGGAAACTTTGCCTACTGGCTTTGTTGGAAAAGAAGGGTATTGTCAGAATACGAGGCTGTAGGGGGAAGCACAAAGAATTGATCCCACTTGGCTAGGCCAAAAAGGTACTCAAAGGATTTGTTGAGGTGGAAGCAGCAGAAGGACAAGGGCTGGAGGAAAATGGGATGTTATGGTGAGAGGTAGTACTGTTGGGTGGATGATAATAAGGATGAAGAGTAGTAATAAGGGGATGGGAATAGACAATGAAGAAAACTGTGTAGTAGAAGATGGAGTATAGGATGTTGGGAGAGAGGAAGGGGTGTATTCTGAAAGTTGAGTAAGGCCTTGGTGGATAATTCGGAAGGATAAGAGTTGACTGCAAACGTCAAGGATGGGGGTATTATAGTGTAAGTTGGTGCTGTGGTCAAAGAAGAGGCTGGGATCGGGAAACCAATAAAATCAAATTTATATAGGCAGGTTGATGAAGGGGCAAATAATGACACTATTAACCCCTTGGTGCCGGGTGACGCCGATCGGCGTGTACACAAAGAGCTCGAAAGCTGGCGTGCAGCCGAACGAGCCGGCGGCGCGCCAAAGCGCTGCGAGCCAGTGATTCGTGCTGTTGTCCCCTACTCACGCGCTCAAAGTCGGCGCGCCGCCTTTGTTTGTTTAAGCGTAGAGTTTTTTTTTTCTTTTGTACACCCGGCGCCATTGGGTTAAGGGTAAACAATATTCATTATTGACTATGATTGGCCTGAAATAAATCCTTTCAGCACTGCCCACACACCTTAGGAAGCAGACAGAAGGGGATGGTGAACAAGAGAAGGAGAGGGAGGGGGGAGAAGAAAAGACCATGCAAAATTAGTTGAGGCAAGGGCTGAGGTCCCTGGTTGGGGTGATAAGAGAGAGAAAAAAAAAAAAATCATCCATTTCTTAAATATAGTTCTTAATATTTCGCAGGTGACTCGTGGCAATAGCAAAGAAAAGACATTCAGAAGATGACAATGGTTTTTTCAAATGCTGTTAATATAACCATAATCAAGAAGTTAAGTAAAGTTAGTTTTTAGAGCTAGGTTAAAACCTCTTACAGGATTATTTATATCATATCTAAGTATTGTGGTTCTATCTAGCTCGCCTTATTATGATGGATTTCTGAAAATATTTCTTTGGGTGGCAGCCCCCAAAAAATGCAAAATGTATTGATAATGCTGCACCAACAGCAACACTGGTTATACAAAGACTTGCTTAATATGATCCATTTATTATTAAAAATTATTACTATTGTATGTATTTAGTTACAATCTTGTAAAGGAAGGACATGGTAAATAAAAAAGGGAAACAATTTTCAAATACAAATGTGCTGTCTGCATCTATATTCACATGTGTATATACCTGTACATAGTTGTATATTAACATAAGACACACACCTAAGTATATGTACGAGAAAAAACATACTCACACTAACTCACTCATTCTCTCACTCTCTCTCTCTTACTCTTACACACACACGCACACGGACATGCACACACACACACACACACACACACACACACACACACACACACACACACACACGCACACGCACACGCACACGCACACGCACACGCACACGCACACGCACACGCACACGCACACGCACACGCACACGCACACGCACACGCACACGCACACACTCACACTCACACTCATACATAAAAATGCACATATGCATATATATACATACATACACACAAAGCATACATATATCCATCCATTCATTCATTCATTCATTCACTCTCTTGCATGCACACTTGTACACTCATGCATTGAGGCACATACAAGGATATTCTATTATGGATTATATAACATATATATTCCTTTATACATATACATATACATATACATATACATATACATATATATATATATATATATATATATATATATATATATATATATATATATATATATATATATATATATATATATATCAAATATGGAAATTGATCAAATCACAGGTGATATCATATTAGGAAACTCAAACAAATTAAATATGAGAATTACTCTTTTTAAAAATAAAACATTATCCATTTACCAGGCCAGAGTATCACTATCAGCTGTCTTAAAATAATTAACCCTTAGCTGCCGGGTGGCATGTACATACATGCCATGGCATGCCTGGGCTACACTCTGGTTGGAATGTACCTGCATGCCATGGTGTGCCATTCCTGTTTTCTGAGGGCATGTATGCTCATGCCACACATGCTAGGGTGACGACGCGAGCCCGGGCCACTATGAATACAACCCGGGAGAGAGGGCTTGCGCTTCAGGAAATCACCCGTCGACTTTACTTATGGGCATATTAACTAAGGCAATCTTAGTTGTTGAGAAAAATGGTAAAATTTCTATTCCAGTGAATACAAGGTAAAATCACCATTTTTATAACAAAATAATGTATTCGTAAAAAAGATTACTTTTATGAATATACTTTGTAATTTCATATCTATTCTATGAAATTACATGTAGTGTAATAAAACATGCTTAACTCTTACAAAATTCTAATAATTAAATACATTTCTTGTGTTTGTAGTCTTACAACATTTCAATGTGTTTTTTAAACAACAGAAAATCATTTGCTTTCAATTATCTTCTTTGCTGCATGATCTTTACAGCAGAACTCTTTGCATAGCATAAATAGAAATTTCACAACCATCATAGCTAATGAAACTCATGGAACATAAAATTGCTAGATAAAAGAAAAAAATATTTACAGCAAACAGCCAGACGAAGATGTATTCATACTTTAACAGATGAGTATAAGCACCACACATGTGTTATTAGTACTGACCACTGAAAATAAGTGCAAGCTGCCCTATTTCCTCCAACTATACACATAGTAATATTCAACCACAGAAATGTATATAGCATCTTACTTATATAACCCTGATATTGATTTATTTGAACATGAAATTCTTAACAGGCTGGCTTATCATCTTGGCCAGCTTCTGAAGGAACATCATCTTGATTGCCTGGACTTTGTAAGGTCTGGTCTTCATTATTCTCATGTTGAGGCTGACTGTCTCTTGATGAGGTTGATTGTGGTGCCTCACTTGTGCTTTCTTCTTCTACTGACAAATTAGCCACCTGACCATGTTTTGCTTGATAAGCCTGAAAAGAAAATCACTGAAGTTGTATTAACACTGACATCAGACTTAACCCTTCTAATAAATCATTACAAATTACATTAAATTATAGAAAAAAAAACCAAAAAACTTTATAATTACACAACCACGAAATGAAAATAAAAGAGCATCCTACCCTTCCTGCAATCAATCGCAACTGATCTGTTGCAGCCTTGCCTGTCTGCTCCACCAATTTTGTAAACATAGAATTGGGGTTTCGTAAGAGAATATATGGCTCGTCAAACTCCTGCAAAAAACAGTGAAAAATAAAAACTAATTACTCAGTCAACCAAGAAAAAGATTTACAGATTTAGATTTACAGAGAGAGAGAGAGAGAGAGAGAGAAAATAGTGAAATAAGAAAAGACCAGGATGGATTTAGTGGATAATTAGTGATAGGTAGGTATAGCATTGCAAGTGTTAAAAGTTAAGATCAGCCTAGAAATGTGTGTATTGATATGCCTGATCAAATGCCAACCTACCTCAAGCCTGCCAGCCTCTAACACCATGACTCGGTCACTGTCCATGATGGTGTGGAGTCGATGTGCTATGGTGAGTACCGTACAGTTTCTGAATTTTGAGCGTATAGTCTGCTGGATGAGCCCATCAGTTCTGGAAGCATTTGTATAGTAAATAGCTCAACTTCACCAAAATATAAAACGGTGGATACAGTAAATGCAAATATATCAAGATACAGAGGTTTTAATTAGATACTAGGCAAGTTATGCACTTGCTAACTCCTGAACTATAAATCACAGCCAAGTAAATAACCCCACGCTTCTAATCTTTTACCCATGAACATGAGAAAGTACTTAATCATTTACACTATCTTAGCCATATACTCATTCTCATTCTCTCTCTCTCTCTCTCTCTCTCTCTCTCTCTCTCTCTCTCTCTCTCATTCTCTCTCTCTCTCTCTCTCTCATTCTCTCTCTCTCTCTCTCACACACTCTCTCTCTCTCTCACACACTCTCTCTCTCTCACACACACTCTCTCTCTCTCACACACACTCTCTCTCTCACTAAGGAAACAAACCTTGGGTCTACATTGGCAGTAGCTTCATCCAGCACAAGAATCCTGTTGTGCCTAAGGATAGCCCTTGCCAAGCAAACTAACTGCCGTTGTCCTACGCTAAGATTACTACCTCCTTCTGACATCACAGCCTCTAGACCTCCTTCGAGATCAGACACTGCATCCTTGAGCTGCACCTGAAATGAAAACATGAAATAAGGAATGAGTTTATGAAACTGCTAAATGTTTACTAGCACATGTGAGCTCATATCTACACTTTCTGTGATCCTTTACATAAAGACAGAAACACTTGAGAAAATGTCACAGACAAGGACAACAGGAGGTTTTAGAATTCATAATACTGCAAAAATAAAAATAAGAGGAAGATAAAAGGAAAAGGAGAAAGAAAGGATGGAAAAAATACGTCACAGAAGAACAGAGGAGAAAAAAAAAGCAGCTAAAAAAGGAGGGCCCGTGAAACTCTTAGCCTTGATATGCATACCTCCTCTAGTGCTCTCCACAAGTCATCATCCTCATACTGGTCAAAGGGATCCAGATTTCTCCTCATGGTTCCAGAGAACAGAGTTGGATCTTGTGGGATGATGGAGATATTTCCTCGTACATCATGTAAGCCCAACTCTTTCACAGCAATGTTATCAATGTAAATAACACCAACTGGTTCAGTTAAACGAAACAGGGATGTTAACATGGATGATTTTCCTGCTCCTGTTCTACCAACAATGCCAATCTGCAATGAGGGCAATATGAAAATTAGCATTGTGTTCATTTTCAGATTGGAATTTTATAACCAAAAAATATGTATTCGAAAAAAGATTACTTTTATGAAGTTATTGGTAATTCATATCTATTCTATGAAATTACATGTAGTGTAATTAAACATGCTTAACTCTTACAAAATTCTAATAATTAAATACATTTTCTTGTGTTTGTAGTCTTACAACATTTCAATGTGTTTTTTAAACAATAGAAAATCATTTGCTTTCAATTATCTTCTTTGCTGCATGATCTTTACAGCAGAACTCTTTGCATAGCATAAATAGAAATTTCACAACCATCATAGCTAATGAAACTCATGGAACATAAAATTGCTAGATAAAAGAAAAAAATATTTACAGCAAACAGCCAGACGAAGATGTATTCATACTTTAACAGATGAGTATAAGCACCACACATGTGTTATTAGTACTGACCACTGAAAATAAGTGCAAGCTGCCCTATTTCCTCCAACTATACACATAGTAATATTCAACCACAGAAATGTATATAGCATCTTACTTATATAACCCTGATATTGATTTATTTGAACATGAAATTCTTAACTCTTACAAAATTCTAATAATTAAATACATTTTCTTGTGTTTGTAGTCTTACAACATTTCAATGTGTTTTTTAAACAACAGAAAATCATTTGCTTTCAATTATCTTCTTTGCTGCATGATCTTTACAGCAGAACTCTTTGCATAGCATAAATAGAAATTTCACAACCATCATAGCTAATGAAACTCATGGAACATAAAATTGCTAGATAAAAGAAAAAAATATTTACAGCAAACAGCCAGACGAAGATGTATTCATACTTTAACAGATGAGTATAAGCACCACACATGTGTTATTAGTACTGACCACTGAAAATAAGTGCAAGCTGCCCTATTTCCTCCAACTATACACATAGTAATATTCAACCACAGAAATGTATATAGCATCTTACTTATATAACCCTGATATTGATTTATTTGAACATGAAATTCTTAACAGGCTGGCTTATCATCTTGGCCAGCTTCTGAAGGAACATCATCTTGATTGCCTGGACTTTGTAAGGTCTGGTCTTCATTATTCTCATGTTGAGGCTGACTGTCTCTTGATGAGGTTGATTGTGGTGCCTCACTTGTGCTTTCTTCTTCTACTGACAAATTAGCCACCTGACCATGTTTTGCTTGATAAGCCTGAAAAGAAAATCACTGAAGTTGTATTAACACTGACATCAGACTTAACCTTCTAATAAATCATTACAAATTACATTAAATTATAGAAAAAAAAAAAAAAAAAAACACTTGATATCACTTGATAGCCAACTTACAGATATCAACGTAAGAGATAAATATCCAGACAGTGGGGGTAATACTAGTAACAATAAACCCAGTACAGTTACCTTTGTCTGTTTCTAGTGCAGCTTCTGGTTCCAGTTTTGAATACTCTAGAACACGTTCTACTGAGGTCATCTGATTCTCCACTTCTGCTGATTGTCTGACACCCCACTGAAACATCCCGCTGAGCATCATAGCAGAGGAGATGGCCAGACCAATGTCTCCTCCAAGGGAGTCTGCAGAAGAGTACCAACATTAATGATCTTCCCTTGCTGATCATCAAAATACATTTGTGCAAGGTAACTATATTGATACAGTAAAAATTAATAACCATATGAATTAACATACACCATATAATGAACAAACACACACACACACAAATATATAGATATATAA